GAGAGAGAGAGGTTGAGAGAGAGTTGGAGAGAGAGTGGGAGAAGGAAACTTGATTGGAGAGAGACGGTGGTGGTGGTGGAGAGAGAGAGGGAAGAAGTGCGCAGCACGCACGCAAGCCTCATCATCGCACCGACCACGCCCGAAGGGTCCCCGTGACTGCGACGGTGGTACCCTTCAACACACGAAAATCCCAACACGTATCCCCCTGGGATCCTCACGACCAGATACTGCTGCGAGTATATCTAACATCCCCCCTGCTCGCAACAGTTTCTCGCTGAAAGCTTCGCTAACACCCGATATCTCAACCAAAAGACGTCTTTCCCAGAATATATGCCATGAAGACTTGACCAGAACAATATAAGAGAGAAAAACAATTCAAAGGAACTTGAATGTTGCATCGCGCGTAACAAATACTTGGCGCGGGAAATGAAACAAGACGGGAAACAAAACAAGACCAAAACACAACCCATCAGAAAAACAATAAAATGTTCATGCCAAATTCATCACAAAATCACGGTGAGACTGGAAAGCATCCTTCGACCAACTCTTCGTAAGAAAGTCTGCACGCTGGTATGGCGACGGCACGTGGATGACCAAAATTTCCTTCCTCTCTACCAGTTCCCTGAGAAAATGGTGCCTTACATCTATGTGCTTCGAGTCCGAGTTTGAGATGGGGTTCAGCGCTAAATAGTTGAATCGCCCCCTGGCTGTCCTCGAAGATGGGGATGCACAGCATGCCGACCTGCGGCAACATGAAACCCCAAATCTGCCTCAAAAACAAATCTCCTTCACTACGTCACCTAGCGCGACGTACTCTGCCTCGGTGGTCGAAAGCGTGACACTTCTGCGTTCTGGAAAACACAGGCACAGCGCCTCCTCCATACGTCACGATCCCTCCTGATACCGACCTACGGTCTGCTGCCTTGCTTGCAAAGTCCGCATCAGCGTACCTATGCAAGCTGAATCCCTCTACCGTACAACGAAATACCAAAGTGACTCGTCCTCCTCGCATAGCCTATAATGTCCATCGCTGCATTCCAGTGTACCAGCTTCGGAGATGCGCAATACCTATCTACTGCCCTTGCATTCGCAATGTCTGGCCTAGTCTGAGTCGCCAGCCACATCAACGATCCTACCAGCTCACGAAACGGAAAGTCTGTCGCCACCTCATCATCCGCATCAAAATCAGAAAGCTTCACCCCCGAAGACATCGGAACCGTTAACGCTCTTACCTTCCACTACTCCATATTCTGCTGCTAGCTCATCCGTGAAAGTCTGCTGAGAAATCATCAACCTACCGGTCTCCTTGTTCCTCTCGTACAAGCACCCAGAATACCATCTCAACTCTCTCAGGTTCTTCACTGGCTCGGACTTCTTATGGTCGGCGCCAAACTTGTCACATCTCTCCCTCTCTCCCGCAGCAAAAACGTCATCTACATGTACAACCAAAATCAAAACAACACATCCATCCTCAATCAAACGAAACACACAAGCATCGGCCATGCACTGCTCAAAATCTAACGCCACCAAACACCTCTTCAGCATTGCATGCCACTGCCTTGATACCTTTCTCAAGCCATACAGACTCTTCTTGCCTAGTTTTACAATCATTCCAGATAGAGCTCCACATCCCTGGGGCAAACGCATGTACACGTATTCCTCCAACTCCGAACGCGCAAAAGCTTGCTCAATATCGAAATGACGTAAGTCGAGGTTCAACTCGCACGCCAAAGCAGCCGACATCCCAACACATGAAACAGAAACGGTAGGTGCGTGTGTTTTGTGTGTGTTTTCGTCCTATTTACTATGTCGACAGTCCCCCCAATTTTCGTGGTGAGACGTGTACTACACTTTTCAGCGTATGTAGAGTACTACACTTTTCAGTATATTTTTTCGTACAACTACAACCAACCATCCATGGTCACACAGGAGGGGGTAAGCACCAGGTTTTTTTTCTTCGTTTTATTTCTTTTTCATGCCCCAACTTCCTCCTGCGGTGCGTGCTGAATTTCATTTTATCACGAGAAGGGTCCAGCCGTCCCTTTCCCTCGTCAGCGGTGGTAACGTCGAAGTTTGGTACTCACGAGAGCTTTTCAGCTATATTTCGCTTTCACCCTCACATTTCGAAACTTTTTCACCCCATGGGGATTCAAGNCTTCCTCCAACTCCGAACGCACAAAAGCTTGCTCAACATCGAAATGACACAAGTCGAGGTTCAACTCGCACGCCAAAGCAGCCAACATCCTAACACATGAAACAGAAACGGTAGGCGCGTACAACTCTCCAAAGTCAATGTACTCTCTCTGCATATCACCTCTCGCTACAAGTCTCGACTTAACCTTAGTGGGCCATCCAAACTCATCTGCGTTCCAATCGAATACCCACTTAGCGTTAATTGCGTTCTCCACTAATTGCTACTTCGCCGGAGTAAAAGTACCCGCTTCCAACAAGCCATAAAACTCCCTTGGCATAGAGTCGCTCCAAAGGTGCCGGTGCTCCGACGCCATGGCCTCCTTGTAGCTCTTGGGGACATGAAGGTCGCTGGCCTGGCAGTANCTCTGCGACTAGCGGATCACGAGGATACCACTAGACCACCGGGGCGACCGATGTTCGTACAACCCTCTAAAGTCAATGTACTCTCTCTGCATACCACCTCTCGCTACAAGTCTCGACTTAACCTTAGTGGGCCATCCAAACTCATCTGCCTTCCAATCGAATACCCACTTAGCGTTAATTGCGTTCTCCACTAGTTGCTACTTCGCCGGAGTAAAAGTCCCCGCTTCCAACAAGCCATAAAACTCCCTTTGCATAGAGTCGCTCCAAAGGTGCCGGTGCTCCGACGCCATGGCCTCTTTGTAGCTCTTGGGGACACGAAGGTCGCTGGCCTGGCAATGCGGAAGGTCAGGGCGTTGCTCCGGCGGGCGCTGGTCTCGCAGCGTGGCGTCGATGTCTTCCCGGTTGGCGAGGGGCTTGGCAAATGCGAGTGGAAAGCCCGCTCCTGCAGCCCCCGGGTCCACTGCTGCGAGTGCTCCCGCCTGCTCTCCGGCCCCCGTTCCCCCCGGCTCTCCGGCCTCCGCCCCCCCCAGCTCCCTGCGCTCCTTATCCACCGCGCTCCGAGCCTCCAGCATCGACACCAGAGTGTTCCTGTCTAGCATCGAGATGAGTCCTGTGCTGTGCCTCGTGCCCGATCTCGTACGGCTTGGCAGCCGCGGGTCTGTCATACCCTCGGCCTTTGTACCCGGGCGAAGCTGCCGCATGGCGTGAGCCGTAAGCGGGGGCATCGCGGGGTCCGGGGGCGGCGGCGGCTGGTCTGGATCTGGGGTCGCCGACGGTGACAGCGAAGAAGGCAGGGGACGGCTGGCCAGGAGCGGGGGTTGCCGACGGTGACGGCGAAGTGGCAGAGGGCGGTTGTGAAGGTGTGGGAGCGGGCGGCGGCGTGGTCGCTGGCGGCGGCGGTGAACGGGGGTGGTGTCGGCGCAGCGGTGATACCAGCGGAACCCCCCTCACCGGCTGGCGCCGACGTCACCCACGACACGTTGTTAGTGTAGATGACGCGGCCGATGGACGCCTTGTGGACCTTGACGGTGCCGCTCGGGTGGTTGTCGCCGCCGTTCAGGTAGTAGCAGAGGGTGGCCTGGTCGTCGAGCTTGGTGCGGCGATCCTCACGCATGAAGCCGGGCTGGAAGAACGGCAGCACGCGGAAAGGCCCCTGTTCGCCGATGAACATCTCGTGTGGCGAGCGCCGCCCGGGGATGACCTTGGTCGCCGACTGTTTGAGAGCGTCGGCGGCCCATTTCGCCGATTACATCCAAAGCCGGTCACCGTGCTCGTCGAGGCCGGGGATGCAGGCGAAGTCGACGTTGAACACACGGCCAGCGCTGCGGCGAGAGGCCATGCCACCCTTCATGATGCGCCAGATGGCGCTCTCGACGACGCCGTTGTACTGCGGAACGCCAGGAGTTGTGAACTCGACGCCGATGCCGTTGTCGTCGCAGAAGCGCCGGAAGTCGCCGCGGGTCCACTCGGTGCCGTTGTCGACGCGGAAACACTCGATGCGCCCGAGGTCGTACCGCCCCACGTCCACCAGCAGCCTTTTCGTTGCCGCCAGCGCGTCGGACTTCCGCCGGAGACCGTAGACCTTGTTCCACAGCGAGGCGCTGTCCACGGCGAGGAACAGGTAGAGGTTGCCGCCCAGGGAAGGCACCAGCGGTCCACGCAGGTCCAGGTGAACACGCCCCAGTGGCTTGGACGCCCGCGCTCCCGGCCCCCGCGGCACCGACCCTCGCCTGCCCTTCGCCTTCATGCAGTCCGTGCACGGTTCCAGCTTGCCGGTGAGCACGATGCCTCCCTGCTGGGCAGTTTCTCTCAAAAGAGGCTCGCAAGCGTGGGCAAGGGAGCGGTGGAAGCGGTTGATGTCAACGGACTTTTCAGTCGAACCAAGAGCAAACGGGGACGCACCAGGGCCAAGCGCGGCCGCACCCAAGTCAAAATCAGCACCCCCATCAATGCTATCCAAAACACCAGCCACATTCGCAGCGTCACTCTCTGGGATAAACACGGGGAAAAAATCTTGATACGGGGTGTCATCATAGCCATCCATGAGCTGCTCGTCGGTGAGCACACTCGTATCTCCAAGATCCATACCCGGAAAAGTACCCACACACACAAACTCGGACGCCGAGGAAGGTACTACGTCGGCAGAGCCGGCGGGCGGGACGCTCTCACTCGCAGGTACTACACTGGTGGGACCAGTGGGCGGGACGCTATCAGCCGAAGGTACTACGCTAGCTGAGCCAGCGGGAGGAATACGCAACATGGACACCAATGATTTCGCGGAGCCCCCCTTTTGGGAAGGGGAACGCGCGGAGCCAACGGCGGGGGCGGAATCGGGGGCAGTCACGAATGCGGGCAAAGCAGCAGGGTCTACAATAGTCGCAGATGGGTCGTACGGCAACCGCATGGCATACGCTGCAGACGCTTTTTCCTCTCTAGCAAAGAGCAGTCCATTTTGTAGGGTTGCACCACGTTCGTCGTAGAGGATTGGTTGCTTCAGAGAAACAGCATGCGTTGAGAACAAGTTGAAACTCAGGCTCTCTACAACAGACACGTCAGTGAGCTTCACACACATCGTCGTTTTCTCACCATTCTCATCCTCCTGAAAGAAACTAAGATTAATACTACCGATGGCTTGCACTTCTAGCAGTCGACCATCACCTACAACGACATACTTCCTACTGGCGGGGATCTCTTGTAGGTCATACATGTGTAGGCTGCTGTTGGTGAAACTGTTGCTGGCTCCTGAGTCAGCTACCCATCTCTCGCTACCAGGCGGCCCCTCACTAGATTCCACACTCAGCAAAGACGAAGCAGACGCAGCAGGCTCTACTCCAATCGTCACTCCTATCCTACTGAAAAAATCTTCAGGGTGAGACTTGCCTATGGGCATCGATTGTGCCATGCAGAGGTGGAGGTAGCCCAAAGATGGAGGCGTGCCAGGAGGAGGAGTAGAAGATGAGGAGGAAGCGGTGCTGCTGCTGCTCGCGGGGGGGTGCTGACGTTGCTGCTCGGATGACGAATTTTCGCCGGCAGGAGGGTAGTACACGTAGTGGATGCCGCCGTCAGATGAACGGCTGTCTTCGTAGTCGCCGTAGTCTTCGTAGTAGCCACCATCATCGTGGGCGTAGTACACATTGTACGCCTGCCCTCTCCCGTGGCCAGAACGCGCATGCCTCGGGCCTCTCCCTGCCTGTTCTCTCTCGGCATGCCCGTCGCTGCTGTGGCGTCCCGCGGGCCCACAACCCCCTGGGTGACGCCCCAGACGACCACCAGGCCCACTTCCACGAAGAGGTCTCGGGGGGGGTGAGACTTGGCTCCAGCCACCGCCACCATGACCGCCGTGGTACTGCTGCCCTTCTAGCCTCACCCATCGGCCGCCACCGCGGCCTGCCCCCGGCGGCGGTCTACCCCCTCGTTGGCTACCGCCGCCACCGCGGCTGCCGCCGCCCGAGCAGCGCTCCATGGCGCCCTCTCTCGGACGCGCGCGCCGCAGTTGCTGCTAGAGACGACACTTCTCGTTGGTGTGAAGCTCGGACTGGTGGTAGCGGCAAAATCCGCCGGGGTCGTCGTTGAACATGTCAATCTTTTTCTTCTCTCCGCCATGATTTTGGCGGCCAGCTGCTGCCTGACCGCCGTCTTGACCCCCGGATGCCCCCCCACTTCCCCCGCCGCGCCGGCCCATGCCGGACGCTGCGAGAGCGAGCTCCACCTCAGGCCTCTCCCCTCTGCTCCTCTCGCGCTCCATCTCCACGTGGGCGTCCCTCACCACAGTCTCAAGGGTACGCAACGTAGGGACATCATGGCCAAGCAGTATTCCTCTTTGCACAGCATACAACGAAGAGGGAAGGCCACGAGCAATGCCTTTGTTGGCATCTGTTTCATCCTTAATCGTGCCTAAAGATGCGAAACGCAGGCGAAGGGCCTCTGAGCGAGCAATGTAATCCTGTGGACTCTCTCTCATCTCCAATTCCTTTGAGTCCTGCTCCAACCTCGACTTTTCTGACTGCGACGGTGGTGGTGGTACCCTTCAACACACAAAAATCCCAACACGTATACCCCTGGGATCCTCACGACCAGATACTGCTGCGAGTATATCTAACACCCTACTTTTACTCCCTTCCGGACTGCCTCTACGACTCCCGACAGATCGTCGTTGATGAACACCTGGAACAATGTTCGGGACAGCGTGCAACCTTGTGGGACCTCCTGCTCAATGTCGAAGAATTTAGACAGTTCTCCGTCTAGCATGACCGCGCTTTTCGTACACGCTGTCATCTTCTTCAGCACTCTCCACATTTTCCCATTGATCACGTATTTGGACAGGTGTTTCCACAGCCCATTTCTCCATACGGTCTCGTATGCCTTTTTCACGTCCAGGANGACCCCCTGCTCAATGTCGAAGAATTTTGACAGTTCTCCGTCTAGCATGACCGCGCTTTTCGTACACGCTGTCATCTTCTTCAGCACTCTCCACATTTTCCCATTGATCACGTATTTGGACAGGTGTTTCCACAGCCCATTTCTCCATACGGTCTCGTATGCCTTTTTCACGTCCAGGAAGAAGCAGTACGTCGGCTTTCCTGCCCTCTTTCTACCTTGGTTGTTTCTCCCTACCGTGAATACGTGGTCTACGCACCCCCTCTTCTTTCGGAAACCTGCCTGGCCCTCACTAATGCTATGTTCCTTCTCCAATACTCCCACTATCCTATCGTTCAGCAGCTTACAGAACACTTTTCCTACTGTGTTCAACAGTGTGATCCCCCTGTAGTTTCCTGGGTCAGTCTTGTCTCCTTTCTTAAACAAGTTCACCATCACTCCTTCCCTCCACCTACTTGGCGTATACTCGANACGTCCAGGAAGAAGCAGTACGTCGGCTTTCCTGCCCTCTTTCTACCTTGGTTGTNTGGGTCAGTCTTGTCTCCTTTCTTAAACAAGTTCACAACCACTCCTTACCTCCATCTACTTGGCGTATACTCGTTTTTCCACACCCAATTGTATAGCAGTACCATCAGCTGGATCATCCCCTTCCCCCCAAACTTCATGAACTCGTTGACTATCCCATCCGCTCCTGCTGCTTTGTGGCACTTCAGCTTGTTTACACACGCCTCAACCTCGTCCTCAGTGACCTCAATTTCTAGTTCTGCGTTCCCAACGTCTGCGTTCGATGTCCCGTCTTTTTGGGCCCATGCGTCCACCTCCCTCTTAAACGCTTGGTCAAAGCTTCATTCTCCGAGGGCACTCCAAGTCCCTTGTAGTGTCGTGCTAGAACTTCCCATTTTTCCTTCCCACTGCTGACTAATCCACCGTTCACACCTCGCAAAGTTGCTACCCCTGTATCCTTCAATGGCGCGGTCTTTTTCACCATTCCCCTAATCCCTTCCCCCGGTGTTTACCATTGGGGTTGGGTTTTCGTCGCTTGGCAACGACGTTGTAGAACAAGCCAATTCACTTCGTGAACTCGGCAACCAGGTTGCCGTTTGTTTTTTTTACCTCTGTTATTTTTTGGCGTTAACCATAATGGTGGTCGAGTAGATCATGTTGTGCGGGGT